CAGCATCAAGCATTCCAGCATTGAAATTAGGAGGAATGATTGCATCGAGCATCTCATAATCCGCCGACAATGGATTCTCCTTGCCTCCTTTGAGAACATATACCCTCAAAGTTGGCAGCATAGCACCCCAATTGCCTTCATCACATATACTTGCTGAGAAGTACACATACCAAGTATCACCAACTTTGTGCATCTCAGGAGCCCAGAAGTTGCAAGCTCTGGTGGCATTGGATCTGTCAGACCAAATGAGCTGGGACTCGGCGGTCTTGAGGCCGTCAATGGTCGGAGCTTTGGTGATGCTGACGTTGGTCCATGTTGTCGAGGTCAGATAGTACCTGGGAGTATGTTCAGCATGGATTAGTCGCATACTTTGTTGAGTTGGAGTCTCACATTCCATCTTGATATACGATATGAGGGTCACTTCCTGTTCTTATGGGATTGGTGAACCCAAGAGCAAAGCTTGAGCATAAGCCAAGAGCTGAAGTGATTACCGACAAGATGAACATCATGAAAGCGAGCTTTCTCCACAGGGTTCTACACAAGAGAGAAACTGCATTTCTATCATTAGTTTTTCCTGTCTCTTATACTTCGTTCTATCACCGATCATTTCCTAAAAAGAACCAATTCTCAGGATAAATCAACACACTATGGATCTCTCGTATATCATGCAGCAAATGATCTGATATCCATGCAGGATTCCCTATAATAACTTACATATACTGCTCGCTATTTGCTCGGCTACTACAAGGTTACGTCCTTGAGAACAGACCGCGGGGTACGTGAGGGGCAGCTACATAATTTAAGCTTGATCGTCATGCTTAAAGAGGGGATCGACAAGTTATTCATTTTATCCATGCGCTCCAATGGCCTGAGTTCGAATTGGAGTTTAGCACATGATTCTACTCTGAATGTTAATGCTACTCCCGAGCAACTTGGGACCATGCTGTGAGGTCCAAAGCATAATCACAAGCCTTATCATCCGGTATGGTGTAGTGNNCCTGTACCGGAGTTTCCTTTTGATCTTTTTGCAAATTCTATATGTATTTGCATCGAAATTGTCAGAGGGTTGGCCATCAGGATATGCGCTGTGAGAATTTGGAAGAAGGAAATGGCTTATGTTTTAAAACTTTATTTAAGTATTATATAAAGAAGCTTAAGGACTGTTAAGGGTAAAATCATGTGTATATTCAATGACCAAGTTGAGCGTAACCAAGACATCAGGAACTATGGAATCTCTTCCCTCTTATGTTGTGCACAACTCCTCCGTGGTATCATGCGTATTTCGCAAGCAAGATCAAGAACGCTTTCAGTCAACCTCCCATAATATCAAAACCATTCGTGTTCATCATCTGCTGGTGTCCACCACATAACGACCAGCAACGTTGCCTGCAATCATCATATCGTAGACCTTCTGAAGTTCGGACAATCCGACGATCCTAGGTTTCACGTTAGTCTTGCCATGATCACATGTAGTGGATGTACTTACTTGTATGGCGCCTTGATGAGGCCTTGTCTGTAAAATTCAATGGCTTCAGCAGTGTCCTGTCGGTTACCCACGTAGCTACCCTTGATGTTGATTTCACTATGACATCCTGTTAGCTTATATCTTGCAAAGATGGTTTCTTCCACTTACCGAACGACAGTGTCGAAAACAGGAGCCTTGATGAAAGCATTGGCTGGTAACCCAACACAAACAATCGTGCCCTTGCTCTTGACATACTGGCTAGCTTGCTGGAATGGCTTCTCACTCGCTGCGAGAAGTAGAACAGCATCAGGTCCAAGGCCACCAGTAGCGTTCTTGATCTCTCCAACGATATCCGTTGACGTCTTGAAGTCAACAAAGACATCAGCACCAAGCTCAGTGCAGACCTTGCGCTTCTCATCTCCACCATCAAGAGCGGTTACTCGCAGACCCATAGCCTTGGCATATTGAATAGCGAATGTGCCAAGACCACCACCAGCGCCAGCGATAACCACACTTTGTCCGGGCCGAACGCCGGAGGACTTGAGAGCCTTGTAGACTGTAAGTCCAGCGCACAGAATAGGTGCTACGCCAGCGAGATCACAGTCCTTGGGAATTCGCGCGACGTGGGCAGCCTTTCCTAGAGCGTATTGCTGAAACGAGCCATCAACAGTATATCCCGAAAGAGAAGCCTCTGAGCAAAGGGATTCGTTAGACTGTCGACACTGTTCGCAGCTCATGCAGGAGCCGTGAAGCCACTTCAGGCCAACATGGTCACCGATTTCAACGTCCTTGACGAGCTCTCCTCGTGCTACCACGATACCCGCACCTTCGTGACCACCAACAAGGGGCATCTTGGATTCAAGTGGCCAGTCGCCATTGACGGCATGAAGATCTGTGTGGCAGACTCCACTATACTTGACATTGATCAGGACCTCATCTGAGCCTGGCGTTGGAACAGGGATCTTTTTATATTGAACAGCTGTTTGCGTCAGAATCTCTTATCCATCCCGTAGTAGATTTTAGCTTACCTCCACCTCGTTGTTCCAAAACCTGTGCCCACTGTTCGTTAGGAATGACAGGGCTAGCAGATGTGGCGTAAGCGGCAGTCTTGCCGAGGCTACTGTTAGCACTGAAGCTTGTGGTGATGTTTCCGGCGCTAGCGCGACTGTTAGGGTTATGCCGGGTGCATGATTGTCCTCCTGATGATGCACAGCTTGCGCAGAGTGTTCGTTGACTGGAAGAAAAGTTTCGACGTGTCGTTTGGATCTGGGCTGTTGCTGAGCGTGCAAGGAGTGCTGTGTTTCGCGTGGCTAGTCTTCCGGTCCGGAGGATGCCAGTTCGCATCGCGTTGCTTGACGATAGCATTGTAGCCTTGCTGTACTGACAGTACTGTAGAGTAATTGTATGTGCTGTAATTGGGTATAATATGGTGTATTGCAATTGGGTGAGTCAAAGGTTGAATATATAGCAGCGACATGCTTCAACTTATAAGAGAAGCATCTGTCAGCCCATAACGATAATTCTGTGGTGCCACGGAGCATCAACCGGTTCTGGATATTGCTTTTGATCAGATCATATTTCAGTCAAACTCTAAAACGGACCCAAACTACCGGAGATGGTGTAAAGTCGTGGGCCTGTCAGTTACTGTGAGCCGCGCTACGATATACCTTTATCCGCGGTGATGCGGCAGAGCCAGGTGACCCCGTGGGGTCTACGCCCACTGTAGAAAAGCCATCCAGGCCAGTCTCGTGTGCTGTGGCCATGTGCTCTGCTCAATCCCCGCAGTGGAAACGTCTTACCATTCCGCAAAAGAGTGAGCCGATTCATTTTTTGACGTTGTAGTGATGGGTTCCAGTTCCATTGCTGAGCCGCCAACAGACGCCGATGTCCACCAATGGGTCTTGAGGAGTAAGCATATCTGACCTCCGGGGGCCCTATGGAGAAGGTGACACAACCCCCAAAGACCCCAAAAGGATGTGCTGTGTCTGCTGTTTGACCCCAATTACAGGGCTGTAAACATTCCGAATTATCCGCATTTGCTTCTGTAAACAGCGAGAGGCATTTGTATTTCTACGCGCACCAATGTTAGAGATACAAAGCTGGTGATGTCTGCATGTGGAAGGATAACAATTGAAGGATTAAAAAAGCAAAACAATCCCAACAGTGACAGCTGCAGCGTTGCAGTCGCGTAATTATACCGAGTAGAACGTGAAAGCGAGACCACAGATGGAAATTGAGTTCCCTTTTGATCCACTGCGGAGCCTTTCCCACGTGTTCCCGTGCCTGGCCTGGGCTACGAAAGCCGCATTTGCAATCCGCAATTTGCAAGTATCGCACTCAGGTACTGGAATTATGACTCCGAGTTCTAGAACCCCACTAACATCAGGAGATTTGGGCTTTTGAGTCACGCGAGGCTGTGACGAAATCGACAATTTTCTCGATCAAGTCTCCGAGGTTCGGAAACAGATTACTCATGAGCTTTAACCGTTGATATGCGGAGCATATGGCCTTCAGTGGTAGGGAGAAACTAGATTGAGATTGTAAATTGTGAGTTTCAGATGTCATTCTCGTTTCAACTGATATCATCTTGCCTCGAATCTGAATTATCTGTCGCAAATAAGATCACCTACCGTTAGATCTCACGAGACTATTCACACCGCGGCAGTGATGCACCTTAGCAGAATTCTTTATGGGCCATGATATCATTCATGTTTCGGCCAAGAGATCTATGGGATTCACGTGAATGGAGTCTCATTGAGCTACCTGAGCTTAATCTAGGGTTACCACCCTGCACATCTTGATCTGACCCAATTCCTTGTCATTACACATCTATGGGATTCAAACCGCACTAATCAGCGCTATCTATACATTCTTACACATCTATCATCTTCAGACAATATGAAGAAGACCACGATCGTTCGCGAGATATTTCTCGAACTTCTTAGCACAATTCTTCAGCCGAGACTACGCAATTCGCAAGAGCTTCTCGACTGTACAAGTCACGGATAAAGAAGCCACGTTCAGAAAGGAAAGAAAGACCATAGAATTACTAACAATAGCATATCTTGAGTGATACGAGCTCTATGCATTCGTGTTGGTTTGCACCATGTTTCAGCCACTCGAGATAGGCAGCCCTACACTAAGACCCAGCATGACGACGCATATGCATAAGCTCGCTATTATTGATTGACTATCTAAAAGAACAATGACATTAGGCAGACAATAGTCCCCTGCTAAAACTATGTCATCGCTTAAGAAAAAGGCTAGGTCCATGTTTCGAGTGAGCGTGGCGCAGCGAATACGAAGACTCCCGTGATCTGACCAGTAGTGCTCAATATCCCTGCCAGCCAATTCAGTGCTGTGGTTGGCTTGATCAACGTTAAAAATAGCCATCTTACTGAACTACACATGTCTTCATACAGATGAATCGTGGGCGGTAGTATAAGCATGTGCTATTGTTAAAGTTGTAATATAACTACACCTGCGGGAATGTTTCACATTGTATCACTATTTCTCTTGATTTATTTCAATGATCATGAACGACACAACCGGTATCACCACTGCCGCAGCCCGACTTGTTGGAATAGTAGACGAAGCGATACGATTCTTTCAACAACTTGATCGAAATACCAACTCTGTCTCGAAACGTGTGCAGCAGCTTGAGAGTTTCTCAAGGTTAGCCAGGGAGGTTGAGCTGAGACCCTCAGCTGAGGACCACAATGATGAAGAACATCTCGGCCTGACGAGACAGATCTTGGTTTACTGCTACAAGCTCATCAGCAGAATTCTCTCTCGACTTGAATGGGTTGATAATGGTGGTAGACACACTTCTACTCAGCAAGGACTACTTGGGGTCTACGCTGAGCTGAATGATCGGGAAGTTAAGGACCTTTTTGAGGAGTTGCATAGGGAGCAGCTATGCGTCGTAGCTTTTCGAAATTCAAGGTATGTGCCCTTTCGAAATACCTAGTTACGACTTGCCCTGACTTTTGAAAGGCCGAGACCACTCTCTCGGGCTCCAGAGTCCGATAGTCGTCCTTTGGAATATTCTCACACTTTCAAAGATCGTGAGCGAGAGTTCTTGAGCCTTTTGTTCGTCACAGATCCAAGAGAAGATCGCGCTGCTCTTCAGTCAAGTAAAGGACCCATTACCCAAGGAACCTGTACTTGGATCACCGAAACAACCACCTACCGGTCATGGCTCTCAGGCTCTGGTGACCGTAGGGGTCTTCACGTCCAAGGGGACGAAGGTCACGGCAAGACTATGTTGGCGATATACCTAACCGAGCAACTGGAGCAGCTTTCTTCGTGCATGTCAACCGACACAGTTTTATATTTCTTTTGCAACCATGGAAATATCAACGCCAACTCTGCCAAGGCTGTCCTCCGTGGTCTTATTTGGCAGCTTTGCAGATTACGTCCACAGCTCTTACATCACGGGCTCAAGAGGACTGTATCGGTCGAAGAAGGGAGAATTGCATTGGCAACCAACTCAGTTGAAACCCTTTGGCAAATATTCATCGCGATGGTCCATGATCCCAATGCAGGAACTGTTACATGTGTTGTTGATGGGCTTGACGAATGTGATGAGTCGTCGATCAAAACGCTTACGGAGAGGTTCTCGGAACTGCTATCTTCAGAAAATCAAGGCAGTCGAAACTCTCGGGTCCTTTTAACTAGCCGTCAGCCATTCCAGCAAGCCAACTTGCCTACTGAGTGTTCAGCAATATGCCTTGACTCAGATGCACACGAGCACAACGTCCAAGACGTGCAGCTTTTTATCAATTTTCATGTTTCGAATATCTCACATGAGCATGGTTGGTCTCAAGACTTCCAAGAAGAGATGAACAAGAGCCTTAAAAGAAGAGCTAGTGGCTCGTTCATCTGGGCGACCTGGGCTATTTCTGGACTTAAAGGGTATGGTGAAGGTACTGCAGCAAAGTACCTCAACGACCTTGCTGGAGACATCCACACTATCTACGGAAGTTCTCTCATGGCCGTTCCATTAGAGTACCGCCAAAAGGTACGATCAATATTGACTTGGGTAGCCTTGGTATATTATCCACTGAGTCTTGACGAATTAAGCACTCTTATCAGCGATGAGTTTGCCACTCCGGACACTGCTTTTATAAACACGAAGGCTTGTTTGAGTTACTGTGGGACTCTCCTTATGACCAAGACAGAGATGAGAAGTTCTGGATCTGGATATGAAACCATAGAAACCGTTCAGTTCTCTCACCGATCCGTCAAAGATTACCTGCTGCAACATTACGGTCTTCGAACCCCAATCGACACCGATACTGACCTCGAATTCTTTCAAATCATCCCGGATAATGGCCATGAGATTCTCGCTTCTTGCTGTTTGAAAATCGTGGAGAAAGGGCTGAAAGTAGAGGCTGAAACGGGGAGCCCTGTGGAGTATGCACATGTTTTATCTTATGCCTCAAAATTTTGGTTCAGACATCTCGGACAATGTCCCGAAAAGCTCTCTGATGAGGCCTTGGCAAAAAGAGCGTTGACTTTCCTTACACGGAACGACGAAAATCGAAGACTCTGGTTCTCTTATCTCTCAAAATTGAGACACAGGCGAGAAGATATACGGGCCAGTCCCTCGACAGCATCCGAGCATCATGACACAATTGGGGGACTCGAGGAGATTAATGAGAGCGATGTCATATTCTTTGAGCAACCGAAAGATACCACTTCCGCAACTCAGCTTCAAGCCCTCCAATTGGCGTCTCTGCTTGGTATCGTTGCCATAGTACGAAAGATTCTTGTTAGCACAAGCTTGCTCACCTGTCCAAGGCAAGCCAACATTGGTTCGCTTTACAGTCGTTCCCGATCAAGAACAAGGGAAGAGGGTCGATTGGCAAAGGTCCAGAGAGGTGGAATACTACAACTAAGCACAGCGGAGATCGTGTCAACGACGCCTCTTGAACTTGCGGTCCTCGGTGGCCATCACAAAGCCGCTTCGCTATTACTCGGCCGTTATCTTCGACGGAGCATATGGCCAGATCCGTCGTTTGCCTTGGCAACTGCTGTTAGTCGTTGCGACGAGGATATGATCAAGTTACTGATAGAGTCTGGTGCACCGAAGCTCAAAGCTTCCAGGCAGCTGAAAGGACCTATCTGTACTGCTGTTGTCAACCGAAGGCTTGATGTTGTCAAGTTTCTTTGTTGCTCTGAAGCCAACATCTGGTCGCAACCGTATTCGAAGTCAGATGAAGTGACACAAGCTTTACTTTGTCTTTCCAGTGATGCAGATCCAAGCTCATTCAACGGAACGGCCTTCATCCAGTATGCAAAAGTTTTACTCTGTGGAGGTGCATTTCCAGATGGCTTCAGCATGGATAGGGAATATCGTGGGTTAAGATACTGGAAACGGGCAGTCATGGAATATTTACACAGACATGGCATCACCCTCACGAATTTGGGATCATATCCCAACAGAGAGACCCCTTTAATGGTCTTCATCCGTTCAATAGGTGCAAACAGCTCACTTTCTGACCCAGTAGAGACTGTTCAGTTCCTCTTGGACTCTGGAGCATCGATCAACCAAACAGACCTCAAGGGTTGGACTGCATTGCATCACGTCGCCAACCAGATTGCTCTAGGTAGAGCGAAGAAGAGCTACGAAGCTACAGATGATGCAGAAGAGTATCAACTGTACAAGATCGCGAATCTTCTTATTTCAGGTGGTATTGATCAAGAGTTAGAGGATAGAGAGAAGCGTAAAGCCGCGGATATCCTGCGCGTGGTGGGAGCGCCGATCTGGAATAGAAATATCTCGGAGTATGAATTATTTTTGAGGAGGGGGCCACTAAGTAGAATATCACTTACATAGATAAGTTGACATCTAGTTTCTAATATCTAATGCTTGAAGTACTCTTACTGTATACAGATCTTATTTATTTTAACTTTGATCGGAGGTGATCTTCACTGAAGGGACCTGATAGTGCCGTTCCTGAGGTCGGCCATCGCAGGGGCTTCGAAATTCCCGGGAATGAAGAAGGGAAGCGATTGGGTCATGAATGATAGCTAAGAAATAAATCAAAATTCGATAGTTCTCTCTAGTGCTGATGTTATATCTATTTGTGATAGCTTCGACTAGAGCTAACAACCTCAATGGGGCACGGATTATTATTAATTTTTAGTGCAGGACCCCCTATCCCAAAAACAAATCAGAGGGGAAATCGTAGTTTGCGATATGAATTTCCGGGAATAAGAGCATGTCCACTTCCCTTGATCCAACCTCGCTCAGATAGAATAGACATAAAATATACCGAGTATTCCAAACTCTGCAGTACGTGCCGGACACGCTACCAACAACTTATCTAACCCAAATCCACGGCCTTATTTCAAGTTCGGTCAGCTGGAGCAGACGTTTATCTGGGCTGACAGAATTGGCAAGATGGCGGCGCAAAATCTAGCTGACCGGCACGCAAACGGCGTTCAAGCAAACGCATAAGTTCAACAGCCCATCGAGACACAAATCTGGGTAGGCAGCACAGCTGTCACTCGTAGAGCAAGAATAGGGGTCGACCGCAGCGGTGGTCGTGGTGCTTGCGGCCTCGGTAGTGGTCGATTCTTCAACAACTGCCGTGGTAGTGGTGGACTCTTCAATGATAGCGGTGGTAGTAGTAGACTCTTCAACGATAGCCGTGGTAGTGGTAGTTGTAGCAATGTCGGTTGTCTCAGTCTCTGTGGCGCTCTCGATGATAGTTGATGTGAGATCAGTAGTATTGTCAATAACAGTTGCAGTTGAGGTGATCTCAGTTGTGGTTCCAGTCAGAGTTGTCGAAGGACGGCAGGGGCCTGCATTTACAGCAGCAGCAAAGAGTGCGACAACACTGAGGACGTTGGAAGACAGCATGACGACTAGTAAAAATGAGTGATAGTCAAGACGAGGGAAAAGAATAAGTAAGTGAATGAATGAATGAGAACAACAAAGAACCAACCAACTAAGAATACAGGGCGGGAAAGTCTGGTTATCTACGCAACAATCTACATTCACCTCTTTCCCCTGACTGCTTGCTTGTTGGCTTTGTTTGCATCTAATCAAATCGTGCATGTCTAGTCAACATACGGAGTACTATTGACGTGGCGTTGGGCCCATTGCGAATTTGCTTTTGCGCTGACAGGCCTGTTCACCAACGCCACGAACTAAAAAGTTGAACTAGACCACCAGACATTTCATCAAGAACGCAAAAAGAAAAGATACACTCCGGTACAGGGAATCGAACCCTGGGCTCCGCGGTACTGATCTCTCAGGGTATGAGAGCGCGAAATGTTAGCCACTACACCATACCGGATGATACTGCTTATAATATGGCGTCGAATATTAGTGTACAAGATCGCCAGGCAAAGCTGGCTAGCGTGATATCAGGAGTTGGTTTGAAGTCTGGACGACATCCAACAGTGGCCGGCTTTTAACTACATGTTTCAAGTTTAAGCCTCAAGGTTCTCTACTAAAAAAGAAGTTTAAATTCAATTTAAATAAAGTTCAAGGTTACTAACCTAATATTATATGCTAATGAGATCAAGGCAATGCTCATTTATGTTAAAGTTATCTTATGCTTTAGTCAGATAGGATGCAGCCTATTCACTCTGAGTAAAAGACCAGATGACTGAATTCACAAATTACATTACTCTATATCTAATAACACGCATTATAAAAGACTGTCTATGGCTTCGGGAAGAAGTCCTTGTACTGTAACAAAGCCTGCTGATACGGAATTGGCTTCCTGCCCGTCAACTTCTCAACATTATCATTCGTCTCAGCCATGAACCCCCTCGCAACCATCTCTCCACAGCACAAAAGATCGCCGATACACAACTTCATCGGCAGCTTTGAAAAGTCCCCAAAGAAGTCGGTAGGCAACCCATGATCCAACCACCAACTCTTCAACTCCTCATTGGGAAGATCGACGATTTCTCCCTTGTACCCTGTATGCTCGCACATCCACTTGAAAACTTCCTCGTTGGTTACGGCTTTGGGACCTGTAATCTCATACACTTTGTTGGGTTCGCCGCGGCCGAGGAGTAGAGCCGCCAGGACGTTGCCGCAGTCTTTGCGGGCAACGTATGCGCCTGCTTTGCCGTGCGTGTTGACGAGCCAGCGATCACCGCAGAATTTCCACGACGGTGCAAAGAGAGTCGGGATGTTATCCGCGTACAGATAATTCCGCTGGATGCTGTACTCTAGACCAGAAGCATAGATAATCTTCTCAATAAAGTGATGGTCCCTTGGGAGAAAAGGAATATCCTCCTCATTCTCAGCCTCAATACCCGCTCCACAGAACGAAGTATAGCAGACTCTCTTGACACCACATGCCTTGGCAGCGTCAACGACAGTTTGGGCCTGACGACGTCGTCCTTCGCCAAAGAGCCAAGTTGAGATGAGAGACACAGCCTCAGCGCCTTGGAAAGCCACCTTGAGACTCTCGATATCGTCGTAGGTGGCATTTACGACTTTTGCGCCTTTGTCGGTCCATGATTTGCGGAGATCAGCGGGGATAGCTTCGTCTTTGTATGTAGTGAAGACGAGCTCATCGCCGGGCTTCGCGATTTCTGTGGCAAACGTTGCTGCGATACGGCCGAGATTGCCGTCTGCGCCTGTGAGAACGTACTTTGGCATTGTGATATATGGATAGAATTGTAACGATATGTAGTACAGAACATGAGGCTCTCGATTGCAGTGCCAGAGGTCACTTTTTATACGTAATCAGAATCTCCATATATTCTTCAGTCACATCATAATCCATATGCAACATGAGATATCACACCGGGCGATCGAAATCCAAAAGAAGTCGTCTAATTCCGAACTTGGCCGATCATATCAGATCCGGACCCAGCGCGGCGGTAGGGCTCCGCCACTAGTCAGTGACATCAGGTCATTTCTAGAAGCGATATCTCGTGTTTCTATAAACTAAAGTTTTTTTCACCGTGTTACTTTTCTGTCACCAGATAAAACATGCAATTGACGCACGTCTCCGATCTCCTTCAAAAGTCAATTCATGCTGTCCTTGGAATTGTACCACAAAATCTCGGTTATCCCACGCGTAAGTGATGGATCATGTTCTGCAAACATCAACCGAATGGATCTAGCGGGGCATCGCTTCTCGCGGGATAGATTCCGTTCCGGGTGGGATATGTCGCTTGGAGTGTCGGTGAACTTAATCTATCTACCGTTTATCCATTCCTTGACCATGAACGTTGTCACGTTGTTGAGATTGGCGGACTATTCGAGGTATTACAATCTGAGTTCATCGACGGGTTGATAACCCTTCATCTTCACCGCCATGACTAATGTCATGCAAAGGGTGGATGTCCCGGTTCTACTGGCACCTTGATAGATCAGATCATGGAGTGAACATTCATTCTGTTATACTCTGCATCAGCTCACCTCCAGTTTCTTAACTGACCAATTGTTCAGAGTATCCAAATCTATTCAACTCTGCCCATTGTAACGAAACCTTGAGCAGCTAAATGATATACATGCCCATCTCCTTGGAGTCCCTCTCATGATTCCAACCCTGCGTCATATAATTCGTGATAAACCCAACCCTCTGGTAAACATTCTCAAACTTCTGAACCTCCTCAGGCTGCTTTTTCAAAATCATCTCATCTGCTTTGACCAACACCAACGCCGCATCATCATCCCAAGCATTTCTCGTACTCATTCTTGTTGAGAACCTAAGGCAGAATAGCTCATTATTCTTCAAGTTTCGCAACCTCCAAAGACTATCCGGCCTGTCAAATGGCTTTCTCGTATCATTCCCTGGCTTTTCTAACCAAACCATATTTCCATCGATGGAAAAGGTTATGGGCATGATGCGGCCGGTTAGAAAGATGTAGCCAGAGTCGACAGCTCCAAACTGGTTATGCCCGCTGAGAGGGCATGCTGTACGATTAAAATCCACGGTCACGAAGAACTTGTCAAATTCAAAGCTCTCAACTCCCCATGTCACGCCACGATGAACGCTAAGCCAGCTCCAGCTCGGTGCGATATACTGTGGTTCCTCGCCGGAGTCTTTCTCATCTGGCATCCAACGTAAATCGTTGAGCAGATCCTTCTCCCAGAGGCCTGCGAGGTATCTTCCTGTAAGTTTATTGGACCACTCTGTAGCCAGTCCTGCGACAGCTGGGAGACCGTCAGTTCGCTTGGTGATATCCTTTTGGGAATACTGAACAATCAAGTCTCGCCAGAGTTCATGGTGCTCTATGAACTCTTTGTTCTCTCCCTTGAGAGGGACTGCGGGGTTGGTAGATGAGCCTCTATAGCTCTTTGTTCCGGTGATGAACTTGTGTCCTGTCTTCATGATTCGGCGAGCAGGTACCAGCGGGTCATCCTCGTGTTTCTCCAGGGCACCGCACTCACACTCCATTGAAGATAGACAGTCAAAGATCATCTCACTCTTGGTATAGTGGAGAATTCGAGTTGCCAACAGCCTTTCTTGGAAACACCAAGCTCTTGTCATCAAAGGGTAATCATAGACCTCGGAGATCGTGGTTCCAGCGATAGGGTTTGAAGATCCCTTCGACCTGTTCGGGTCTGTGTTCCAACCAAAGACTGCATGCTTAGCCACCTTTCGACCATAAATCTCGAATGGCTTTCCATCTGGAAATGTTCCGGAAACTGTGACGAAAGGCTCTCTTTGAAATAGGCAGCCACCAGAACCATCGGCGGATCCAGTGGCAGCCAAAACCAGCTCTGCGCCGTTATAGATGGACGCCATCTTGGCTGCTTCGATTTCCCAATCTTGCTTATCATCTTGAACGATGCAAAGTGAGTCTATCCAAACATATCGAATACCCAACTCTCTCGAGATGGTAACAGCATCTTGGAATGTTTTGGCGAAGCGGTTGAAAGGGATGTTTTGCTTCCACTGGTCAAGAGTTGCCTTTGTCGAGATCAGGTGCTGGGTCTTACCCCAACAGTGAGACAATGCGATATATGGTTCTGTAATCTGCTGTGTGGCGTCATCGTGAACAAAGATATGGATTCCGTCGTTGGTATCAGGTCCAATATCAATGACTCGCTTTGGAAGCTGAGGGTTTGATGAGGCTTCGCCTTCTGTGCAAATTGTGTGTGTAGCCTTGCAGGTTTTGATCCAACTTTTGACCCTGTCGAAAGATGACTTGGATGTTGGATCTGGCTCGATATGGCTTGCATGTCCACCAATTTCAGCAGGAAGACTCCAGTCAGGACGCTCGACGTTCATGGCCGAGCCAATAGTAGGCCATGGGCAGGGTGAGCCTATATGTGTGAGCTGTTGTCCTGGACAGTGGCCTGCGTGTCTTACCAGGGAGGGTGTATATTTCGAAGCTCTCAAGAAGGTCTCCATCTGTGCTTCCGCCACCAGAAGAGAACATATCAAAGTCGTCAGGGGGACTCCCACGGATAAGCTTCATCCTTAAGACGTTTCCCTTGCAGAAGACAATGTCTAACCAGAGCTCAGGATCATTGAGATCCACTGATCCTTTGGTCAACTTCATCAAGACTTCTTGTAGAAGGAAGCAAGACGGGCAACCTCTAGCTACTGTCCCAGGGACATCGGGGAGATAGATACTGATTTGCCACGAAGCATAGTCGATACGACCTCGTCCTGCCCAAGCAGGAGCTTCATCTAGCTTACCAGCCGTAGCCGCTCTCTCTGCGTTGATGGATCCAGAGTTTTCATGCATGGCTATACCAGCCAGAGGAACAACAGTGGCAGTCGACCCTGCATAGAGATTCCAGCATGTTCGACATAGTGTCGGGTCTTTCCGGATATCATCTTCAGTGTCTCCGGTTGGGTATGGTGTTCGCTGAAGGTTGAGTGAGGCCATAGTAAGCGAACCCCGCAGTGATCCTCATACAGTAAATCGCGTATATTTGCAGAGCAAGATTCGCTCACAACAATTGTGAAATGGCTTGGTGATATAATCTGATTATGAAGAAACTGGATTTGAAACGAGTTCGAGGATTATTTGTTTTATCTCACCTGCCTGGGTCCTAGGGTCATGTGATTCATCAGATAGCCAATCTGACCGATGCAGGGGGTCAATAACCTGATGAACAGGTACGGCACTTTTATTTTTCACGAAACCGCATTTCAGATGGATGTTGTTTGTTCTATACACACTACTTAGGTCAAGTTTCAGTCCCGAAACTCACCTCAGATTAAGTCTTATCCAAATTTAAGAGAGGGGTCAGGGGTCTTTGTTTGAATGTATGAAATGGTTTATAGAGCAGGGGAAATTTCGAACTGAGTAACCTGGATACAGCGAGCCTTGTAAAAGAAAAGGTTCAAGAGGTTAGTGTAGAAGAGAATACAGAAGAGGAAGAAGAAACCCAAAATCAACAACCGAAATCAAACGTTGCAAGGAAAGTTGGTCATGTCATCCCGACTATTGCCGTACCACAGATAGTAGTTCTCAATGACTTCATCCATAGAGCAAATTGGGATATTGAAGACACCAGGAGCCTCGATACCACTACCAGCAAGGCTATCGAGGACCTCTCGGCTAGGCTCGTCTCCAAGATCAAGCTTGAAGCCGTTCTGACCACCATTAGCAGCCTTTGAGTTGAGAGATCTACAAAATCAGTAAGAGATAGTTTTGCACGATTTTATGAAAGAAGCTTACCCAATAATGACGTTGTCGAGCGAGATGTCGGTGAACTTCTTGTCCTTGAGAGACTGCCATCCAGGAGGAAGAGCAAAACCACCACAGTCAGAATCACCAGACTTGCTGTCGCAGTTGGTGTTACGATCACGACCACCGAGAAGCCAATAAGACTTCCCATTGAAGCAGAAACGGCCATCCTTCAGAGCACCGTCATCAATCCAGTGCTGATACATCGTCGTGAAAGTAGCTTCCTTATTCCAACCAGGATCTTGATCACAAGCGACATCAGACTCTGCAATGAAAGGAATGACCACATCGGGGGAGTACTGCCATGCCATGGGGATCAAGAAGGCGTTGATGGCGCGCTTAACTTGCTTGGCGTGGTCGCCACGGTCGAGCAGCCAATTATCGCCAAACATGGACGCGTCGGAGATCATGGCACCGAGTTGATTGTAGCCGTCTTCGGAACCGCCAAAGAGCCACTTTTGAGTTGCTAGGACACCATCTTTCCAGCCTTCGGTGAGACCTTGCATTTGAGCAGTGAGACCATTCTGGACTCCGAGCTGGTCTTGGCTGGCACAATTGTTAATTGCGTAAGGAGATAGGGTGGACAAACATACGCTCTGCCGTTGAGGATGTCCTTGGTGAGTGTCAAAGAGTTCTTGACAAGGTCGTTGGTCGTATCCTTCAGCGTACCAGCATTGGTGCTATCAGTGAACTTGGGGCCGATCACTGTCCATCGTTAGTTCATGTCCATCCATAAGAGAAGAATGATGTACGTTTATTCCAAGCAGGGCCCATAACGATACCCCAAGCCATCAAGGCAATATCGATGAGAATAGAAGTAGCAAGGCCTCCCTCCTTGGGAGGAACCTTGCCAAACTCGGAAGCAATGGTGCCAATGTCGTTATCGCGAACGGCATCGCCAACAGCGTTCCAGATGTTGGAGTGCATCTTATCATCGTTAGCCAAACAGAGCTAGGTACCAAGAAAGAGAAGAAGCTCACAGCAAAGATATTCTCGAAGGAGTGAAGAATGAAATATCCAGCAGGAACACTGGTAGAGTGGCACTGCAGGTTGAGATCCTCGCATCCACTGCCTTCATCACTGAAAGTCTCGCAGAACATATCTTGAGGTCCGTGAAAGAAGTTGGAAACCTAGAAATATCAGTCACAATACCCTTCCGTGTTCGACCCGGAAACCCACATTGTTGGAAAAGTGCTTCTGTTCACGTCCACCAGTAATGTTCATTTTCCATCCTTCAATAACAGCACTCCAGGCATCACCAGCATCAACATTCTTCCAGCGGTCAGGTCCATACAGAGTATGATCCTTGACACCGTCGGCCTCGCAGTTCACAGAGCGCCAGTCGTTGGTATCCTCAGCGGGGATGGGAGCTTCAAAAGGAACAGTGGCAGTGGGCTGTGAGACATCCTCAGCTTGCTTCACCTCTGGGACGGGTGTGATTACAGTAGCTGGTACATCTTGACGTTTGAAGGCGTCGGGGGGGAGAACTGGGGGAATCACAGCGTGCTTGGGGAAAATTGCATGATTGTTTGCGGGATGTGCTATGCTAGTGGAGGATAGAGAAAGGAGGACCGAAGTGGTCAACAGAAGAGGTTGCGTCCAGCGTGCCATTTGGTAGTTGGCCTTTTCGTAGCTTGCTGTTTATCTTTGCTCAATATCTCCTCCATCATGGAGTTCTCGTATTATTATATACTCTTCACATCACCAGTTTCTCAACCCATAATGTCAAAGGATCAGCGCATCAAATTCAGAAGTAAGCCCTAAATCAACTTCATGCAACCTTTGAATTTACTGCTGAATCCTTCTGATCTTCCCCAGCCTCACTCGGTGTTGATATTCAGAGTCATCTTGGTCCTGAATAATCCTTTTCACTAATCTAGTGCCCGTCTCTTGGCGAGTTCACCACTTAGACGCGCAGATGGACGCACGTAGTGGTAGGGGTATGTTTTAACTTGCCGCAGGGGTCTAGAGTTTGTTTATTAGTCCCTACTTTAAAAGGGATTCTGTGTGGGTTTGAGATGGAACTTGGGAGATCATTTGCATGGGAATCCCTGTATGAGCGATGGGGGCAAGGCAGTCTTGAAGATCTTACTTTCAGGTACTTGTGTACTGTACTACCCTTTTGACAGCATCATGCGCATCCTTCAGTTTAGGTAGTGTGATCTTGGCTAAACCCATTGAAAATAAAAGCACAATGTCTCTTGGTTTTATGCTGTAGTCCATAACATCAGGAAGCCTACGGTCCAGTTCAACTTGATATCAGCCGTGCGTGGTTTCGCCGTCCAATGCTTAAAATTAGTATAGCTATAGGGCTAAATTAAGATCACTTCTTGCTTGCGCTTTCGGGATACCTAGTGTTTATGCATAACAAGAATAAGTACTAGTTGCAACCTTATATCGCAGATTCCCTAGTATAGCTTTTCTCGGTCCCGAGATGAGAACAAGCTGCTTATATGCCGATACTTCAAGAGAGTAACCCATATAAGTAATCGCTATCTCCTGATTCAGTGACCGAGTCGAGCAACCGGAATGCCTTTTTCAAGGTCTAACTCTCAACTTAGGTATCTCACATGGAGAATTCCAATCCTCTAAAGCATGATTAACAGATCATAAATTCCTAGAAGGTTCTTGAGTGGAATTAAACTCGGATGGTTTGTTTCAGATTCTTGGAAGGATCTAAGGCTGATATAAACGTGGCCCACGTGCTTCATCGAGTGGCCATGGCTTGATGGACCCCACAGCCATTGAAACTTGTAAGGACATGGTTTTGAAGAGAAACATCATCCAAGATACCTAGCCATTCTCTGGAGTAGCTTAACCCTGTATAGGTTAGGTAGTTCTCAATACAGAGGACAAAGCGTCCATACTAAACGACGAAGAGACTTAGGCAAGTCCAGTATAAACTTAGAGGCACTTTAGACTAGGTAGGCAGTCATGTTGGTAATCCAACTTACGGTCACTTGATCCCCAGGGCCATATCAAGCACAATCCAACTTCTCAGGTAACCAGAATAGTTTTGCTATGCGAGTACAAGCTCGAAATAACAAATACCTGCCAGTATTATGTTCCCCCTTAAACCATCCCGAACCAGGGGTGACCCAAGATATCCTCCGCACTTATGCGTCCTTCATACACGAAAATCTTCCTCAAAAGATCATATAGCATATCAGCTTCTTGAGTTGATATTCTCGGCAATGATTGAAGGTTTCCCTCTACATCACTATTTCCTGGTAAGTAGGTGAACCATCCCACTCCCCCATCTTCTGGGAGGTAGGTGCCGTTGATTTTGAAAGCAGATGGTTTCCAAACCCGATTGGCATAGTGTTTCGGGTATGGTCTCTTTGTATTGTCATGTATGGCGGACAGTTGATCTATGTCTTGGGGATTGTAATTGATGATGGGGGAAATATCGTCGCTCAGCCAGTCACAGCTTTTGGGAAGCGGCCTATCTTCATCTCTGACTATAAAGGGCGCAGCTGGTGTTGACTCATTCTCACTGGCTTGCATTGGTTCGTCCCAGATATCGCAGATCCATTGCTTCAGCGAGTGAATCTCGTCAGACACTTCCCTTGGGCAGCCTTTAGTTTTATCTGACGTTGGACGGCCTTCCTTATCGTAATATGGCTCTTCCCAAGGTGCTGGTAGTTCTCCAAAGTACTTCACACACTCTGTAATAAGATGTGCTGGGCAATCGACATGGTAGGGAAACAGTGAGATGCCGGACCGCATGTTGAGAGTCGTGACACCCAGAGCCCAAACATCACTTGCTGGGCTCGCTGGCTTTCCCACAGCCACCTCGGGCGCCAGAAAATCAGGTAGAGGTGCGGGTGTCTTCGGTGACGAGATCTCGAATGCATGATCAAAATCAATAAGGCATAATTCGTTCAGAAGAACGTCTTCGCCGCTTGACATGAAATCGAGAAAGCCGACAACGTAGCGAGGAGCTTCCAGGCCTGGGACTCTGCCGGACTCAGTCTTTAATTCGTCGATCATGGGCTGACCAAACAGGCGATAAATTCCTTGATCGTCGAGATGGTCCAGATTGCGAATTCGGAGAACTAGGTTTCCTGGTCTGATATTTCCATGGCAGATACCACGGGCATGCAAGTCCCTAAGGATATCTGTTGCTTGATAGGCGAGTGCTTGAACAAATTGCGGTTTCATTCTGCTCTTCATATAATTCGACAAAGAGTGCAGATTTGGACCACAGAAGGGAAGAACCAGGCAGAGATGGCGTCCGTTGGGACCATCAATGTGGAAGTATCTCGTGTAGGTAATGAATCGAGGATCTCCACCGTATTGCCCATGACGGGCCAGAATGCTGTGGCACTTGACTATGTTCTCCTCAACACTTGACGGTTGGTCGGCCATCATCATCCTAAGAGCTACCCAAATGCAACTCAAAGAATCGCGCGCAAGCCATATCATAGAAGTATCTCCAGCACCAATCTTGTGGACTATTCGATAAAGGCCATCATCGTAGAGATCGCCGAGATGGACAGGGTGGTACCCTGCCGCTCCGTACATGGGATATTCGGAGTTAATTTGTGGCGATTGGAAATCGTCTGGGAAATCAGGATCTGTCTCGAGATCAAGATCGGTATCCGACAAGAAACACATTTCTGTGTTTTTTGGTGTGGAAGAAGATCAAGATAAAGTGTTTGAGTGAAGCAGAATGGTGGCTTAGAGCGAGCTGAAAGAGGTGGAAGGAGGTGTCTTATATACGCAGATACTTCATGGGAGCTGCACTAGTTTGAGGAAGGTTCGCTGACAGTCACGTATGACTTAGTTCGAAAGGTTTAATATACAGTTGCCACAAAGGCTTGTTGCGTGGAAAATCAAGATGTTTATCATAATTGAGTCTTTGTATATGGCCTGCGTAGGAGGGACAAGAACACCTAGGACCCTGACCCTAAGTGATAAAAATATTTAGGTAATTTGACCTAAGTTTAGGGGGCTTTTTCCTAAGTTTATTTTAGTCTCCTCTTTTTGGGACGAGAATCAAGCTTCCTGAACTGTCTAATTCCGAGAGTCAAAATGCATAAGGTAGGTTGTTGACGATGAAGGGCCCACGTGACCGTGGCTTTGACAATTGCCCATCTCCGCATTGGGTGGGGAAAGCCTCAGCCCCACCACGATTTTTCCATCTGAAGCTTCTTTTGGAGGGGCAAAGATCGATAACTCCATGTTAGTTTGACTGGCACACAAATTCAACCTTTTACAAACCACTTTGACAACCCCTCGTCACACAAACCGCCATCCTCAATAAATCTCAGTCTTCTCGAAAGACCATAACCGTCATCATGGCCACCGCCACCATGACCGTGACGGCCGCGCCGATCAAGAAGAAGCCCGACATGGCTCCCGAGAGCGAGCGCTTCCTACGATGCTGCGCCGACGTCGCGAATGCCCTCATCGAAGACCACGAAGCCAGCAAGGCTGGTCGAGCCACACGCGATATCAACCTCAACTCCTTGCGCAACAAGCTCGCCAAGAAGCACAAGCTCCAGAACATCCCGCCTTTGACCGCCATCATCGCCTCCATTCCCGAACACTACAAGAAATACATCCTGCCAAAGCTCATCGCGAAGCCCATTCGAACATCCTCTGGCATTGCTGTCGTCGCTGTCATGTGCAAGCCCCATCGTTGCCCTCATATCGCTTATACCGGCAACATTTGCGTTTATTGTCCTGGAGGTCCTGACTCCGACTTCGAATACAGCACACAATCTTATACTGGCTACGAACCTACATCTATGCGAGCCATTCGTGCACGATACGATCCTTTCGAGCAGGCTCGAGGACGTGTTGACCAGCTCAAGTCTCTTGGCCACTCTGTCGACAAGGTTGAGTACATCATCATGGGAGGAACCTTCATGTCTCTTTCTGAGTCATACCGCGAGGAGTTTATTGCACAGCTTCATAATGCTCTTAGTGGATACCAAACGACCAATGTTGATGAGGCCGTGGAGGCTGGCGAGATGAGCAACATCAAGTGTGTCGGAATCACAATCGAGACACGGCCCGATTATTGTCTGCAGCCTCATCTTTCTGACATGCTGCGATACGGCTGCACACGACTTGAGGTTGGAGTGCAGTCACTGTACGAAGACGTTGCGCGAGACTCTAATCGAGGACACACAGTTGCCGCAGTCGCAGAGACGTTCTGCCTCGCCAAGGACGCTGGTTATAAGGTTGTTAGCCACATGATGCCTGATTTGCCAAACGTTGGCATGGAGCGCGACATCGATCAGTTCAGAGAGTACTTCGAGAACCCTGCTTTCCGAACCGACGGCCTCAAGATTTATCCTACCCTGGTTATTCGAGGTACAGGTCTTTACGAACTGTGGAGGACAGGGCGGTACCAGAATTACACTCCCAACGGTTTGATCGACCTTATCGCAAGAATTATGGCTCTTATTCCTCCTTGGACCCGTATTTATCGTGTTCAGCGCGATATCCCTATGCCCTTGGTCACATCTGGAGTTGAGAATGGTAACCTACGCGAACTGGCACTTGCTCGAATGAAGGACTTTGGAACAACCTGCCGAGATGTACGGACACGAGAGGTTGGAGTGAACGAGATCAAGAACAAGATTCGACCTAACCAGATTGAGTTGGTTCGTCGAGATTACGTCGCCAACGGAGGTTGGGAGACTTTCCTGGCCTACGAGGATCCCAAGCAGGATATCCTCGTTGCCCTACTTCGATTGCGAAAGTGTACCGAAAAGTACACCTACCGAGAGGAGCTTATAGGCCAGCCTACCAGTATGGTGCGAGAGCTTCACGTTTATGGCACAGCTGTACCAGTTCACGCTCGCGATCCCCGCAAGTTCCAGCACCAGGGTTTCGGTACATTGCTCATGGAGGAGGCTGAGAGGATTGCGATTGAGGAGCACGGCAGCGACAAGATCAGTGTTATCTCTGGTGTTGGAGTGAGGAGCTACTACAAGAAGCTTGGCTTCTGGTTGGATGGTCCTTACATGAGCAAGTGGCTGGATGGTCGTGAGCAGCCTGAGTAGAGGCAAGCTCTAGGGTAATGAATAGCATGAAGGATGAGACGGGAAATACCTCGCGGCAGGGGATACTGCATTTATAGATGGCGTCTTTGGGTGGGAAATGAAAAGCTACGACATTTTGATTAAATTGTGTTTTTCTTGCGTCTTGACTGTCCTGAGGGATCGAGTGAAGTAGAATAGACGCAAACTCATGAGTGGTTATGAGTTCTCACTCCTGCTTAGATTCACTCATCCATTCATAAATGGACATGTCAATTTAGTACAGTTAATCTCTCACTTATCTTTTTTAACCGTAGTCAGGCTGTGATGAGCCCTGCAGTTTCAGGTCACCTGCGCTGTTCATGAGGATGCCTCAGATCTCGGGACCTGCTGGCCAAGATCATCGTCACCTGCAGCACCCGATTGGTCCACGTCGCTTAGTCACCCTCTCATCAACTCCCAAAGCCGACGTCAACCTGCTTTTGCTCACAGGCTCCCTCCCCCGTGTCATCTTTCTCTCACTATGACTCCCTCAACGCCATGAACAATCGTCGAAATGACGCCCCGGACTATGGAACCGGGATCTTCCCGGCGTTACCTCCCGACGTCAACGTCGTGCTTCCAGACCGTGACCCCAGAAGCAATGCCGCAACTGCCGCCTCAGCAGCTGGTGTTCGTGCCTTGAGCACTCAACTTATCGCTTTCTATTTCCGTGCTCCTGCCAAGGCTTTCTTTAGAACGCGTGTGGATTATCTGGCTTATGCGAGGACTATTCATCAGGCGCAGACGGAGCTTATGATGAAAGCTGCTGCGAATGATCCTTCTGCTTCTCGACTCAATGTGTTTATGCGACAGAGTTGGTTGTTGCTTAGAAGTACGACGCCTGGAGTTTTAACGTCCGCTATTAGACATCAGGGATGGGGAATTATACCGAATCAGATTTTACCGCCTCTTATTGCGAATGTTGGTGTTGGTGCGGTGCTGTACACGAGTTATCTCCAAATTCTAGGACGACTCCATGAAGAGAGTGGACAAGCGCGGAAGAGAGTATATCCACCGCCTCACCCGATGCATACCTTTACAGCTGGATTGCTTGCAGGCGCACTTCAGAGTGTTGTGGCTGCACCATTAGACGCTATTCAAGCACGGTATGATCATCGAGATTTAATGCCAAACGATGGCAGCGGGAAACCCCGGAGTATGTGGGCTTTTAGCGCAGAGAAGCTTCGCGAGATTGGACTCAGGGGTATTTTTGCAGGATGGGGTCTATCACTCGCAAAGGACAGTCTTGGAAGCGCTATCTTCTTCAGTACATTCGAGTACGTTAAGGCTCAAGGCTACTATCGCTTCGTTACGTGGTATTACGGTGGTCTGGCTGAGGATATCGTTGATGTGCTTGCCATGAAGCGTCCCACGCATGAACACCGACAAGAAGAAGGCATGAGGCTCATTCGACCCCATTATGCCCTTGAGCCCATGTTTCTTCTCCTCGGCGGTATCAGCGCTTCCTTTACTCAGCAAGTCTTACTGCATCCTTTGACACACTTCCAAGTCAAACACTGGGATCATCTTGAAGACCTCGACGAAAAAGCCGCCAGACTTCGCGCATCCCGAGTCGCAAATCCCGAAAAGCCGCGTCGACGATGGAGGATGCTACGAGCCTATTACCACGCCTACCAAGAATCATTAGCCGTGTGTCGAGGGGAGGCAGCAGCCGAAGGACTGACCTTGACGAAATGGCTGTATAGAGGATTCTGGTGGAACACGATACGGCAGGTTCCTAGCACGAGTGCGGGATTGATCATCTTTGAGTTGATACGGCGCAAGTACGGACTTGGGCAGGAAGAAGTGAGAATTACAAAGGATGGGTATGACATTCTGCTTCACTAGAGGCTGGGTCGGTGTGATGGCGTTGGTGCATAGACTATTCTCCTCATTGTTTTGGTCCTGTTTAGAAAGATCAGGAAGTATATAGAAATGAAAGATACCTCTCTCCGCTGTTTATAGTGTCACAGTTTCTTGTCTGGGCCGTGATCTTTTGCCATTTTTGTAAGACGCTCTATTTAGTCTACGCCAAGGTAAACATATGCCAACCATAAAACATCATTTATCGTTAACGCTTTCGTGGGTACCCTTTTCAACTTCTTCTTCTACCTACCAACAATCGTCAATGTCCCATCGTGATTGTTGCGGCTGTCTGTATTGTCCTTCTTCATCTGCCTAAAAGCCTCTTACTCCTGTTGATGATCTCGCTCCCTCTCGAGGCGGGAATAATCGATGCCAAGTGAGAAGTGCTCAATCGAGCCAGAGACAGGATACTTCTCGAACCAGCCATTATACCAAAACGGAGATTTAAAATCGTACTTTTCCCAGAAAAGCCCCGATTGCTCATCCAAGGCCGCAAGCTGGAAAAGCAGCTGCATGGAGTACCTACCGTCACTACAAGGAAGACATAAGGCTGAACCCTGAATCCCAAGATGTTCAGGTGTCGAGCATTCGAGGAGGCGTTCGTTCAAAACCTTTAGTTTCTTCCGATCCTCGATTCCGTGGTCGAAGAAAGTTCCCTCGAACCGCTGCAATTCTACCAACTCTAAGAATCGCCTTACGTCGATATCACGGGGG